CACTGAATTAAAGATCATGTGTGTAAACTTCCTGATCACTGAATTAAAGATCATGTGTGTAAACTTCCTGATCACTGAATTAAAGATCATGTGTGTAAACTTCCTGATCACTGAATTAAAGATCATGTGTGTAAACTTTCTGATCACTGAATTAAAGATCATGTGTGTAAACTTCCTGATCACTGAATTAAAGATCATGTGTGTAAACTTTCTGATCACTGAATTAAAGATCATGTGTGTAAACTTCCTGATCACTGAATTAAAGATCATGTGTGTAAACTTCCTGCCAGCAGTTCAAAACACTCTGCTTCAAATGGCTTCCTTAAGGATGTTATTTATACGTGTTGGTGAATGGATACGATAACGACACCTGTCTGGCCTCTTCTTGCGCTCGTGAGAAGAAATTATAATATTCTCTGAGGGAAAGTTCTGTCATCTACTCTTTAATAGCATCTAACTTATTTCATTCTTTTAATTTTATGTTTCACTTCAGTACATCTTGTTTCCCTAATGATCTATTATTAATATTATTATTATTATTATTATTATTATTATTAATAATATTATTATTATTATTATTATTATTATTATTATTATTATTATTATTATTATTATTATTATTATTATTATTATTATTATTATTATTATTATTATTATTATCTATTTTCCTTTGTCTCCTTACATCAACAACAACAACTACTACTACTTCTATTTCAATCAAACAGAAAATGTCACTTCAGTGTGTTGAGCCAATGTTGTATAAATGTCCATGTTAAATTAGTTTCATATCATCTGTGACCACCTTTTATCCACCTTAATATACTATTGGTGTTCTTATAGCATATTTCCTGTGAATTTCAACTTCCTACAATAAATATTCTTGACCCCGGAGTTTAGTCTTAACGAGCGTACTTGCTGTAATACCCAATACAGTACTGTAATGACAAATGCACAACATCTCACTACAGTACAGTTCCGTAGATATAACCCAACTCCAAACAATGTGTCGTTTCCACTACTGGGAGACAAAACTAACATTAAGCCAGCTCGACGGTAAGGTTACGTCATAAGTTCCGTCATGAGGTTATTTATCCAACCAACAGGTGAGGGCTGCCAGATGACGTCACCGCAGTAGCTAGAGCTATACTACGCTTGAACACATGCGTTCACCTTCTTATTATCATGTCGTTTCAACACAGGCAAGTTGAGATTAACGTATCATTGTGAATAATTCAGCACTAAACTGGGAGGAAATGTCATCCTATAGCCTCCAGGTCCGTATATTGAGGAATCATACACAGGACTAGAAGACGTTTGTACACAAGAAAAACAAGTAAAACAGCATCTATAAAGTACTATCCATAGTTATTGATAAATATTACCACTAGGCTGCCCACAGTCCAGAATTACTTCACCATAGAAAATTATCAGTTAACGTTGACGGGGAAACATGATGACGCAATTGGTAAGTTTACGCGGGAAAGTGAGGGGTGCTGGTGGTAGAGGGAGAGCGTGACCAGCTAGGCGCCACACTGCACATCATCGGATTACATATGTATTTTTGTAGCACGAAGAGAGATGACAAAAGTAATATGAGGGCGGAGTTAGGGCACGAGCGAGCAACAGCAGAAGCGGATCATGCCTAGTGAATGATAAGTGATTGTTGTGGTGTTACGTCACACAATACTGCCATTATGTGAGCCAACAATGATCTGATCTGCGAGGCGCACCAGAACTGTTCAGCAGGAAGAAGATAATGCGCAGTAATTCAGACGTGTAAGAGAATTCCTTCTATTGTGGCCAGGATAACACTTTCTCTCCAAAATTACAAGGGTGTATACAAGGAGGAGAAAGGTGTGTGTGTGTGTGTGTGTCACTACAACAGATAGAGAGAGGAACAGTGACTGGTGGTGCTCTGCCATCAGGAGGGCTTTACCACAATCCGTTACGGTTGGCTAATACTGGCGTGTCACCCACGTTCACGTTCCCTCCCACGGCCACCCAGACTCTCCCACGCCCACCCAGATCCTCCCACGCCCACCCAGACTCTCCCACGCCCACTCCAATTCTCTCACGCCCACCCCTAACTCCAACGAGCCTTTCAAAAGCCCTTTTCATTGTCTAGCAGGCAGGAGTTGGTGAGGGTGCCGGTGTGTATAAACGGATGTGTGACGGTTGTGGGGATCACACTGTACCCCTCCTGCCGCCGCCCTCATTCTACTCCTCTTACCTGATCGTCTCGTTATCTCTCCAATTTTGTTTGTTTCCTGATGATACTTCCGTCGGAAGATACGGCAAAATACTCGTCGTCCGTGTGTGTGTGTTTCCCCTGGTTGATTAGATCCCCACTGTCGCTCTCTGCAGTCATTTATCTCTCTCTCTCTCTCTCTCTCTCTCTCTCTCTCTCTCTCAGCACTTTCCCCCTTTGTTGTGGATCCTGAGTCTCGCGGTCCTCTTACACAACATTCTTCTTAAAACATGGTAAGGTGGTGGTCTGGTTGGTAAGGTGGTCATGACCTCTGCTCTGTAATCCGTGTTACCTAACGCTCATTAGATGAGTAAAGAGTGCACAATATACTAGCTGTTGTCCGCGGGAAAATTTAAAATCTAATTTATTAGTTCACCACACACACACACACACACACACACACACTGAAGTTAGGCTTCTCCGTTCTCATCTTCCTCAGGTGGCCTATACAGGCCTTCCCTATGCCACAAGGTGTTAGCCAAGGTTCGCTGGTAGGAGACCCGGCGAGTTACCATAATGCACTACACGTCCATAGTTTTGTGAGTGGCGTAGCCGCAACACGTTTGTCAAGAAATCTGAGTCATTCCTCAAGAGGGAGGCCGAGTGTTGCTTGCTCCTCCTCATCATTACCAGAAACTCAGGAATTAGCTGCCTTTCCTGCTTCGTGTATCGTCCAGACGGTGGTGTCACGACAGCTGGCCCATGCTATCCCCACCACACCTCCACACCTGCTGTCTCTCTGTGCCTTGTCACTCCCACCTTTTGTTCCGCATCTTCACCTGACAGTTGCCATTATTACTTTTAGTTTAACACGTTACTGCCTGTACCATCTATTGTGCCCGACATTATACTTGTGTTGTATACCGTCTCTTGTGCCCAACACTATACTTGTGTTGTATACCATCTCTTGTGCCCAACACTATACTTGTGTTGCATACCATCTCTTGTGCCCGACACTATACTTGTGTAGTATACCGTCTCTTGTGCCCAACACTATACTTGTGTTGTATACCTTCTCCTGTGTCCAACACTATATTTGTGTTGTATACCATCTATTATGCCCAACACTATACTTGTGTTGTATACCTTCTCCTGTGTCCAACACTATACTTGTGTTGTATACCATCTATTGTGCC